AAATTAGACATTTTCACGCTAACGCTAATTTCTAGAGGGGAATCACGAGTCACGCCAGGCCAAAAATCACGCTTGACGTTAAAATAAAATGATTTTTCACGCTAACGCTAAAATATATGGCCATTTCACGCTTCACGCTAAACCCCATCGGCACCCTCATGTATCAGTGTTTGCATCTGTGTACAGTGATGGCAATTTAAAACCAGGTTTGTTCTTTTTCTCATTGTGTATGTTATGTGTTGTTTATTGATACAAATAATTCTCTAGGGAGAATTACCAGAGCGAGAGAAATATTTACTTAATTATACATTATACATTATACATTATTAATTATTACATTCGATGTAAATCAGAATCAATCATTATCGTCGACGAAATTTGTACTCGGCTGATTCGGCTCAGTACTATGATAGGTTTTACTATATCTCAATCTCACATCACATGCAATGAGGCACCAGTTTATGCACTGATAGATTGCATGTAATTTAGTTGGTATTCTTGGGGTGGAAACATCTGACATTAGTTAGAAGTTAGGTGTAACTGCGATGAATTGTTACATTAGAAAAGAGAGGCGTGAAGTACTTGTTATTGCTGAGTACACAGCATCATCGGGTTCATTCTCCTGGCCAGTGTTACAAACATCCCCATCAGCATCAGCATATTCTATCATAAGCAGCAGCAGCAGCTGTAGCAGTAGCAGTAGCAGTAGCAGTAGCAGTAGCAGCAGCAGTAGCAGTAGCAGCAGCAGTAGCAGTAGCAGTAACCGTGGTAGCAGCATCAGCGGTCGCAGTAGCAGTAGTAGCAGTAGCAGCAGAAGCAGCAGTAACAGTAGTAGCAGCCGTAGTGGTAGCAGCAGCAGCAGCAGCAGCAGCAGCAGCAACAGAAGCAGCAGTAACAGTGGTAGCAGCAGCAGCAGTAGCAGTAGCAGCAGCAGCAGTAGCATCCATGATGGTAGCATGTTGTGGGAACGGCAGCAGGGTGGGCAACTCATTATTTGTTACTGGAGGGGCCATGCCTTCGCTCTGTAATACCGTTCACACGAGCTGTTGGGTAATGTTGCATGTAGAAGTAATGTTGTACGTGGTGATGTTGCGTGTAGGGGTAATGTTGCATGTAGAAGTAATGTTGTACGTGGTGATCGATGTTGCATGTAGGGATAATGTTGTATGTGGTAATGTTGCACGTAGAGGTAATGTTGTACGTGTTAATGTTGCGTGTAGGGATGCTACAGGGTGCATACAAGCGGCAGTGTTGCGGGGAGGTCATGGTGAGTGAGGACATGCTGTGTTGCGGTGATGGAGAGGATGGCACAGCTTACGTGGAGCGTGACGGTTACTCCTGCTGTGGAACTCACTACGTTCCCATTAACGTCACCGTCTGCTGCACCGACGACCTCAACAATGCTCAGGTACACACCGATTAGTTCATCTTAAAGTACACGCCTGAAATAGTTTATCTTAAGGTACACGCCTGAATAGTTGACCTTCATAGTTTACCTCTACAATTGATGCCAAGGTATACACCTTTGGTATCAGGACAAATACCCCCCGGACATTCGTCCCCGTACAATTACCCCCGGACAATTACCCCCCATGCCATTCACCCCCTGGACAATTACCCCCCAGACAATCACCTCCCGGGCAATTACCCCCTGGACATTTACCCCCCGGACATTTACCCTCCGGACATTTATCCCCCGGAGAATCACCCCTCGGACAATTACCCCCTGGACATTTACCCCCGGATAATTACCCCATGGACATTTACCCCCCGGACAATTACCCCCCGGACATTTAGAGGAGGAGTTAGAGGACGACGGAGAAGGTAGTGGAGGAGGAGGAGTAGGAGGGGGAGAGGAGGAGGTAGAGGAGGTAGAGGAGGTGCAGGTGGTGGTTGAGGGAGGAGGAAGAGGAGGAGGGGAGAATGTGATGGAGGAGGAGGAGGTAGAGGCGCCCTCCTCTACCTCCTCCCATCCTCCCCCTCCTTCTCCACCACCTTCTACCCACGTTCTCCCCCTCCTCCTCCTCCTCTTCCTCCTCCTCCTGCACCTCCTCTCCTCCTCTCCTCCTCCTCCTCCACCACCTCCCCACCTTCTCTCCCCTCCTCCTCCACCACCTTCTTCCCTCCTCCTCGACCTCCTCCCTGTATCACTGTTCAACAATGAATAATAAACAACAAGTGAGTAATTGTCCGGGGGGTAAATGTCTGGGGGGTAATTGTCCGGGGGGTAATTGTCTGGGGGGTAATTGTCCGGGGGGTAAATGTCTGGGGGGTAATTGTCCGGGGGGTAATTGTCTGGGGGGTAATTGTCCGGGGGGTAATTGTCTGGGGGGGTATTTGTCCTAGAACCACACCTTCATAGTTTACCTTCATGGTCACCTTCACAGTTAATGCCAAGCTACATGCCTGAATAGCTCACTTTCATAGTTCACCTTTACAGTTAATCCTAAGGTACACTTACCTGCATGGTTGACCTTTATGGTCACCTTTACAGTTAAACCTAAGGTACATGCCTGTATAGTTGGCTTGCATAGTATACCTTCATAATCAGCTTCACAGTTAATGACAAGTATGCCTGAAATAGCTTACCTTCATCATTTACCTTTATATAATAAAAGTGATAAAGTGATGATGAAGTGTAGTGGTGCATGTCCAAAGAAATGCCACATTACTCAGCTGCTAATGCTATGATTATGTGTGATTAATGTGTGGTTATGTGCGCTTAATGTATGATTTTGTGCAATTAATGTGTGGTTATATGTGATTAATGCATGGTTATGTGTGATTAATCTGTGATTGATGGGTTTGACATAATAGGTTCACAGTTTTCCGAGCGAGGAAGCGAAGATATCATACAACGGTCAGTGCTGTGGGGTGGAGCTGAGGGCCTCCGCTCTCTCCTGCTGCAATAGGAAAGGATTCAATGCAGACACTCACATCTGCGCCGATAGAAACGAAGATTACTCGAGTAAGGTCATGATAAAAATATTGTGTGTTTGCCCTCACCCGACCGACCCGCCAAAAAGGGGCCGACTCAAAAAATTATATTGATCTTTTGCATTCTTTTTTTTTGACAAATTGTTACATTATATCTAATTATCACTGTACATTATATAAATCTTTAGGCAATACATTATATGTACCAAGCAAAATAAACATTCAACATAAAAGGTATCTCCACACAAGCACACCCGAGCATGTAGACACCATACTGAATTTGTAAAAAGACCCCCCTCAGAAAAGAAGGAAAAAAGCCTACCTACCTACCCAAACCTTTCAGCCTGGGTCGGGTGAGGGCAAACAAATATTTGTGGCCTAAGTCTGACCTCAGCTGTAGCTGCTACACTTAGAGATGTTACGTACATGCACCTCGATCCGTGTTTCAACACTTGCTCACAATCTATCAACTATACCTGGCTATGTAGTAAGTAAGTTGAGGTCATACCCATTAGTAAGCCCTATAGTATTACACTAGTCAGCCTCTTTGCTCACACTGACATTGATCACTGTCAGTGGTTTACATTATTAGTGGTTCTTATATTTTTCCGTTATATGAAACTTACTATGTTAGTTATCTTGTATGTATATCCCTTATGGTATGGTATCACCCATATTTCACATTTAATGGCTATCGTCTGTGTTAATGTGATTTTTCCATGTGGATATATAATTATTTACTGTGATAATATTTTCAAGTATGTATATTACTCAATACTTGTTACATGACATAGACATGCTATTACCATGCAGTTTACACTGTGAGAGAGGAACTCTCTGCCCACTACGCTCTCACAGGGCATGAAAGTAGCCAAAATGTGAACATGCCTGCAGGCCCACCCAAAATTTTAAACAGGCCCTCTGACAAATTGAACAGGCAGGCCTTTAATTTTGTTCAATGTATTCCATTATTAATAAAAGTATTAGCTTTGTGTTTATTAGTCATACTCGTAGTATTTCAGTATTTCTACGGTGGTGATGGTGTTCTACTGGTTTGACAGGAATTGCTGGAACATGGTTTTCTTCTTAGTATAGTCACTAAGTAAAAACTAATCAGGAAATCTGCTCTGATTAATTATACTAATTGACTATCAGTGTCACATTGGCATCTCTGCTATGTATACATATCTGTGTAATTAACACAACTACAGTATATGCTGTCATTCGGTTGTGCTGTATATATATTTGTAATATTTTCAAGGTTTCAACATTGGTACATTTACAAGATTTCTTAGCCTCGTGTATAAGCCGCACCCCCGATTTTTTTATTGAAGTTGTGTACAAAAAAGTGCGACTTATACACGAGTAAATACGATGTGTTTCTTGCTGGCTGTTACGTGACCTGTCATCGTCAGTGTCTTCATGTTTGCTTACAGACTGCGGTGAGGGCACACTATGTCCGCTGCCTGTGAGTCCACCGATCAGCACTGCGTTCTGCGACGAATGCTCGTTCAATCGTAACACGCACTACTGCTCCATGCTCGAGGACGTGCCGCCGCCGCAACGCTGGCCGGTGGCGCCCCCTGCCAGCGTCGTCGAGACAGCTGGCGCCACCTGTCATCACGGAGCCACGAAGGTTTACAGTGGTCTGTCTCCTGCATTCATAGGTGAGTGTTTGTTATTAATAGTAGTAGCAGCAGCAGCAGCAATAGCAGCAGTAACAGCAGCAGTAGCAGCAGCAGCAGCAGCAGCAGCAGCAGCAGTAGTAGTAGTAGTAGTAGTAGTAGCAGCAGTAGCAGCAGCA